TGGAGGAATGACGATGCAAGTCCCATGTCGATCTGATCAGATAAGATACGGCGCCACATGCATGCATGATGTGGCTGATGGAACAGTGGAGTTATTCAAGCACCTAAAAAGACTAACCCATAAAGGGAATGGCTAGATTGAAAAACTGGGCCTCCGAGGTCATTTTTTAACGAACCGTGCTTCGCCTTTCACCCGGTCGGAATACCACGGCTGGCCACCAACTTTACCAAGGAACCTACTTATCCACCAAGCATTTTTGTGTTTTGCGCCATTTGCCAGCTTGCACATCACCGAACCTCTCCCCTCGAGTAGAAGCATCTTCTGACGCATCTTACCCTTTTCAGCACTGTATACACACCATAATTCGATTATCATGTTGTCGCGAAACTCTGCCAGAGCCGCCCAGGTACATTTGTCTTATTTGTCTTGCATTAGCCGAGCCCAATGGCTTGAGCTTCCCCTCCACCAATTATCACATGCCTCTGTTTTCGTTCCTCAACTAATGGTTCATGGTTTCGCTGACACTTGATTTTTGTATAGCGCCTGGCGCGAACCGCTGCTCGCCAACAATCCCACATCCAGAATGCGACCCGATCCTTTGCGACCGTTCAGTCTGATATCTTCAAGCCCACCAAGTATGGCGGCAAGTACACCGTCACCCTCATCCCCGGTGATGGTATCGGTGCCGAGGTAGCGGAGAGCGTCAAGACCGTCTTCAAGGCCGACAGCGTGCCTATCGACTGGGAGCAGGTCGATGTGTCGGGTGTAGAGAGTGGATCGCCCGGTAGCCTCGAGGACATGTTCCGCGAGTCTGTCGCTTCTCTGAAGAGGAACAAGCTGGGCTTGAAGGGTATCCTGCACACGCCCATCAGCCGATCGGGTCACCAGAGCTTCAACGTGGCCATGCGACAAGAGCTCGACATCTACGCCTCCATCTCCCTCATCAAGAACATCCCCGGCTACAACACCCGCCACAAGGATGTCGACCTATGCATCATCCGAGAAAACACCGAGGGTGAATACAGCGGCCTGGAGCACCAGAGCGTGCCGGGCGTCGTCGAGTCCCTCAAGATCATCACGCGAGCCAAGTCGGAGCGAATCGCCAAGTTCGCCTTCTCCTTCGCGCTGGCCAACAACCGCAAGAAGGTCACCTGTATCCACAAGGCCAACATCATGAAGCTGGCCGACGGTCTCTTCCGAAGCACCTTCCAGAAGACGGCGGCCGAGTATCCCACCCTCGAGACTAACGACATGATCGTGGACAACGCCAGCATGCAGTGCGTGTCGAGACCCCAGCAATTCGATGTTATGGTCATGCCCAACTTGTACGGTGGCATCCTGTCCAACATCGGTGCTGCTCTTGTCGGTGGTCCTGGTATCGTTCCCGGCTGCAACATGGGCCGTGACGTCGCCGTTTTCGAGCCTGGTTGCCGACATGTCGGTCTGGATATCAAGGGCAAGGACCAGGCCAACCCCACTGCTCTTCTCCTGTCTGGATCTATGCTGCTCCGCCACCTCGGTCTCGATGATCACGCCAACCGCATCTCCAAGGCTGTCTACGGTGTGATCTCTGAGGGGTAAGTTTCTGTCAACTCAAATTTTGCATATGTGTCCCTATTCTAACAATTGCCTATAGGAAGTACCGCACGCGCGACATGGGTGGTGAGGCCACCACGCACGAGTTCACCCGTGCCATCCTCGACAAGATGGAGACCTTGTAAATCAATCAGACCTAACCCTCATAACCTACCCAACCCAAACCCTTGAGACTACGGCCCGCGCTTCCCTACGTGTTCACTCTGATAGATACCTAGAGAGGGGTGGGGGGGAGCAAACGACAGCATGACCACACGGAGTCACGGAAGACGATGCTAGAGATGTATTGTACGTAGAATAGGATATGCTAGCATGACATAAAGTTTATTGTTTTCAAAGAAATAATTTCTATTTTGTCTGTTATGTGACGATTCCCACGTACTACAGAGACAGAGAGAACATGTTTTTGTGGCTTGGCATATGTAGCTATCCATTGTGGCTGAACTTTGGTGTGGCTCTAATTACTAATGGTGCAACACGATGCAAGATGCGATCTGCTGTACATGTATGTGGGTATCACGTGAGCGACGGGACTTCTTGTAAGTTGCGAGAAGTAGACGACATGTCAAGTCTTCTACACATCATGTCTTGTCGTAAATGTAATATTGATTATTTATTTCATGGCTCCACGAACGCCCAGGTAGATTTCTCCTGCATTCTACGGGCGTCTTATTACCCAGTCTGGAGGATACGACCGACTGGTCATCTAGATGGGAAAATTGTAGGGATGAATGAATATAAGTGAGGATAAGAAGGACTCGGTGGATTGGTTGATATTCGATTATTCTAGGCTATCTATTGTCAAAAGGGATTCAGATTATTGTTTCATGGGGACCCTTTTTCAATCGCTGGGGTGTTCACTTCTATCGTGGGATCAAGCTAACATTGCATACCTTAGGTACTCTAGACACTTAATCACTTATCGGCAGAATTATTACGCCACCATTAGTACAATGCACGCACCGAGTTAAGCATATGTAATGGAGTTGCATTCCTACTTGTCAGACTCAGGGGACGCTGTCCCTGGGGGCCTTCCCTCTGGTCTAGTGGTATGAATTCCATGGTAAGACGGCGGAACACGACAATTCCAGTAGGGTCAAGGTTCAATAGGGGTGACTGGTTCGATCCCGAGCTTAGGGCGCCAGCTCTCGAGCCTCACCCGCCCGGCGATTTTTTGTCTTTTGCTGATTCCAACCAAGGGCACGATGACATTTAATATGTTTCATTCCTTTTTCTCTCGTCTTTTTTTCTAATGCTTTACCAAGTTCACATTGATGCAATACGATCTCGTCTACTGCACTCTCTGACCCTGCTTGTCAGTACGGCCGGCTGCATAGTGTCCTTGCCTGGCGATTGCAACAACTGATCTCTGAGTATTTTTCAAAGTCGCCGAGTAGGCACGTACGTACTACTATTGTATAATTGAGATAACCATCTGTGTGCTTCGTCAAGAGGATCTCGTCGCCACCCTCCCCCTTTTTTTCATTTTCCTAGATGGCCGCCATGCCACCCTATCTCAGGATTAAGCGGGGTGCTCGAACCGTTAAAACATTTTGAAGGTTTGTGTGAACATATCAAAATCATTGGAGGTATCGTAGGAGCAGCTCTGGCATCATAACGGATCGAAAAATGATCATGAAATACTACTGTAGGATTATGCCGCATTTGTCTGAGCTTGGTGGGTTAGCCAAATCTGTCAGGATGTAATTGTGTGGATTCAACCAGGCAGATTGATCGCGCACACATTACATATATGCACACGCAACTAATACAATAACTCGACACCACACGCCCCGATCGTGATATATCCCATCATATGCGATAGACCTTGTCCATCCAACAAAATCAGCAGAGAAGACTGATGATAAGGATACAAACCCGCCAAAGCACTCTTCAGTGTTGGCAAGAGGAGCAGATGAGAATGAAAACAACAACAACAACAACAACAATTGGCTACCGAGACAAAAGAAAATGACAAAAAATCGCCGCTCGGGCTGGGGGTCGAAAGCTGGCGCCCTAAGCAGGATCGAACCCCCGCCCTTGAAACCTTGACCCAAACTGGAATTTGTCGTGTCCCGCCGTGCCATTAGACCAAGGGAAGGCCCCAGGGACAGCGTCTCCCGAGTATGACAAGTAGGAATGCAACTTCATTACATATGCTTAACCCGGTTGCATAAATTGAACCGATGGTGATCTGATCACTAGGGTGACCATTCGGACCATTGGGCATAATACAGAAGACCACTTGCTAATAGTTAGCTTATAGCCTATTGACACACATATATTGCGGCTAAACTGATTTCGAGACATCTTTATTACATCTAGAGTTCATTCCGATAAAGCCTTGCGCACGGTATGAAGGAAATGGCATTATGGGGTGTGCCGTTGCTTCCATCGATACTCAGTTCTGAGTATAAAGTGATGATATTTCCCTTTAGCTGTATGTATAGGAGGTAGGATTAATAGAGTAAGAGGTAATGAATGGTATTGCTATACGTTTGGCTACCCCTGAACCGTTTGCGGTTATGATAGTGAAAACGCACACATGGCTCCTAGGACATGATAGAGAGCCGTAGTCCTATGTAACATAAAAAATTCTCCTATAAAGCCACTGTGCCATTTCATTGGGTCGCAAGAAGCTTCCCATATGGTATAGGGGATTACCTTATCATGGCTATCTTTCCACCGGGGATGAAGAGAGGAGTTCAGAGTAATGGATTCAGAGTTGGAATCACGTCGTAAAGGGTGTATTGAGAGGTCATGATTCCATCCTTCCGCTTGGGATGTCAGTCGTGAGTCCTTCCATTTACCTCCTTTTCAACATCGATGGAGGGATAGCACATCAGCGTCGTTGTCTCTTCTGTAAGCCAAAGAACAAGGTCGTGATCCTGGATATCGTCGCTAAGAAGCTCGAGAAGATTTCTCAATGAATCTACCTTCGCTCGGTTCCGCTGTTGCTTCTTTCCTGTATGATTCTGAATCCTGCCATTTCGTCTTCTAGGCCACTTCAGATTCTTTTGGGCCGTAAGTGTTCCCATTTCTCTCGGTCTTGCTCCACAGCCTCTATAAGGCAAGCTAAGAATGACGAAGGAGTCTTTCTTGGCTGTTCTTCTGACTCCGCCTCTGCCTATCGCATACCACTCTCCACGCTTGGTACTAAGACCAGGGAAAATACGGGGTTGGTGGAGACTTTTTCTTCGCAATGATTTGTCTTGAGTCATGTATAGAGTAATAAGACAGGTTGGCATGGATGCTACCATTTGTGTAGGCTTCGACTTCAGGACTCTGAGACTTTGTATGCGACGGGCTGAGATATTTTGGATGCTGGTGGTTTAAGTATGGCTTTTAGCTGATGAAAGACATCTCTCAAGTCGCCGCTATCGTCTATGCTGATTGGAGCGCAGTCCGAGTTGGTGTAGTGGCTAACATTTGGCGCTCTCATCATTGACCTGATCATCCGATCTGTCAAGATCCGCCAAGATCCGCCAAGCTAGGGGTTCGATTCCCCGATTCGGAGCTTTCTTTATATCATGAAGAGCACTGCTGGCTCTATTTCTCTCCATCAAGGACGAAGCAGTGTGAAGGTAATTTCGCGCCGGGGTCCTGTATTCGCTATATCACGAGCATAAATAGGTAGCTAGTGAGGAGTCGGACATAGTATATTGACTTTTTGGTCGAGGACGGGGTTGATTTGATTATTTTATAATCCTCAGAGATGTCTTTCGCAGCTCTCGCATCTTATACTTCTATTCGTATACGGTATAGCCTTTTAAGGTCGTGGTACAGCACGCACGCGGCTTTCCTAGAGGTGCCTATAGGTACGTCTACTCAAGTTAGCAAATATTTTAAACACCTGCAAGGGATCTTACCTGATTAAACTGGCATAAGCGCGATTATAACGCGATTATAAAAGGGAGCTGGTGAAGCGCCATGATCGCAAGTTTGTAGAAGGAGGCGATTGGAAATCGCATATGCAGAGCTAGAGGATAATGATAAAAATATGATTTCCAAAAGGAAGAACCAAATGGAGTCGGTTTTGGGGATTAATATTAGGACTTAACCGGAAGACGCATGGATAATGGCCAAACACACCAGAGTATGTCCTGTATTTTTTTTTCTTTTTGGTTGCTGCGTTGCAGGTAGCTAGTGTCCTAAGCGTGTCGTAACTCGAATATGGCACCGCAACCTTGAATTGAATTTGTTGATTCCTATCACGGGTACGTGCATATGGCTAAAGCAGCTGTAATTATCCACATATACCTTATGTACATATCCATCAAATACCTCCTTCACAGGTATGCTAGTTTCTACTTCTATGGAAACGATATAGCATAACCGGCATTCCGATTTCCCATTCATTTAGGTCCTTGCCTATACCTTTCCAAGTTACCTAAGTATGAGTGGATAATATTTACGACTTGCTTATAAAACCTACTCTTTCGGAGGTTGGAACTTCTTAGAGACGGAATTTGGAAGAAGGCGACACCAATAGGGGAGAGGCACAACGTTCAAGCTCGAAGAAGACTTTTTTTCATAAAAAAACCAATAAAATTCTATATCTATGACTCGCGCCCATATATCTATTCCTCCCATGATATCTCCATGACCAGCCATCATCCAACAGAAGAAAGGAAATCTTAGGAAAGCTTTAGGAAAGTACAATATGTTTACAAACAACGAACGAATTAGTCAAGGAAACCCGACGTCTTCCAGGCCGAAACATAAGATCGTACGACCTCATCACTCACCGGCCCTTGTGCGGCCATGGTCTCGGAATGCTCACTGGATCGTTGCGTATCCAAGATGATGCCACCACAAGCCATGCGCTCGAAGTGGCCCTCGAGAAAACCGATGACTTGGGCGGCTGGGTTTTCTTTGTAGGAGAGAGGTGATTCGCGAACGCGTTTGACCCAGTCTTGGAAGGGAATGATACTGTGGGAAGGTATGTCGAGGGCAGATGCTAGAACCGTCGACATGTGCTTCCATGGTTGGCCGACGGGGTTGTCGATGTGGTACACCGGTGAAGCCTCTGCTTTCTCATCGCGGTCGTCGATCTTCAGCAAATCGACCATGACAGCCGCGCTTTTATCTACGGGCAGCCAGTGTAGTACCCCCTGAAGGTCGGGGAATGCCTTGAGCGCCTGAGCGCTTTTTACTAGGAAGGGAAAGTGTTCGACAGGGTTCCAGACGCCGCTGGAAGTTGACCCGGAGATCTGGCCTGGCCGTGCTACTGAGGCGTGGAAGAGTCGAGGGTGACGACGGAGTGTTTCATTGAGCATGCGTTCGCATACCCACTTGCCCTCATTATAGCCGCTGGGGATCACCGAGGCCATGGGTATGGGTTGTTCGAGCACATTTGGCCCGTCCGAGAAGCCGGTCACGCCGATGGAAGAGACGTGCTGGAAACCGACCCTGCGTGGTCCAGTAGTTGTTGCCATATCGCGCGCTAGGTCTAGTAAGTTTCGCATAACTTTGATTTGGGGCTCGTAAGTCTTGAGCGGCCGCGTTCCGCTCATCGGCCATGCGTTGTGGATGATGTGGGTACCACGTTGTGCCAACCAAGCATACTCTTCGGCTGGAAGACCGAGCTGCGGCTTGGAGGTATCGGTGTCGTATACCCGCAGCTTTGCGCGCTCGACGGGGGATAGCTTGATACCCCTTGACAATAGTGCTTCTTCTTGTCGCTTCTCAGCAGTTACATTGCTGACAGGACGGTTCATGCACACAACGTTTGCAACATCTGGACGTATGGCGAGAGCCTGGACAAGGTGTGAACCAAGGCTGCCGGTTGCGCCTGTCACGATCACTGTGGCTCCATTTTCGGGGTGTATTGTGGTGGTACGGCTTTTTGCAGCTTCGAGAAAGGATGATTCCCATCCTTGTGTGTAGGCAGCCACCAGACGCTTTGCCTCTGCCTCACGCGCCGCGACGTCGCCCCTATTAAGCACTTTCGCTACTGCGGCAAATGCATCAGTGGTCGAGGTCGGAGCGGACGGAGGACTGGGAACTAACCTCTTAACGACAACGATGTCTGACGCGTCGTCCGGAGTAGATATATCAGAGGCTAGGTCATCGAAATGGGACGTGTCTCCGGTAATAGCCGAGTCATCATCGCTCTCGTAGTCGCTAATATCATCCTCTTCTTCTTGTTCCACACTAGGCTCTCCTCCAGCCCTAGCCAGAGCATTCTTCACGCAGGCAATGAACTGGCGAAGGTTTGTGGCTTCCATCTGTTCAGCCTGGTCAAGCGTACATTTGAATGTGTTCTCGATTTCGCGTGCCAGCTCCATGCCCATCAACGAATCGATGCCCATTTCAGCCATCTCGCTATCGAGCGACATGTCGCTAGGGTCGATACCAGAAACATTGGCGACTACGTCGCGTACCTCGTCCGCAATATCGCGTCTGCCGGTGGTTTTGGGCTTTCTGCTACTTGCTCTTGAGGCCTTGGCCTCTGAGCGGGGAGTTCTGGTCTCTACAGAGGAGGGAAGGATGGAAACAGGAGCAGCAGGCGCCGGCACTGCAGTGTTTTTCAAAACCGATTTATCTACCGTCACCCTCGCCAGTATCTTGCTCATCGTTGCCTTGGCGACGCGAGCATATTTGAGGCCCATGATGACCTCTTCTAGCGCTCCCGTGGCGGCATCGAAGATGTAGACGTCCGTAATGTAAGCCTTGTCAGATTGGCGCGCGTGGCGGGCAAGCACATGCCAGACACCGGGGCCATTCTCTCGGCCATCCGTTACGGTCTTGGCCTTGGGCGAGCGCATCGTCAGCTCGAGACCGGTGGCGACGTACATGTCACTCTCTGGAAGGTCGGTCAGCAGGTTCACATACATGCCCGCGACCTGACCGAACGAGTCGGCCTTAGGTACGTCAAGCCAGGTGTCGCCGCTGTGACGCTTATGCACGACACCGGCGCTCTCGCCATCGCGGCCAATCACAGATTTCACGCCTTGGTACACCGAGCCGAACACAACAACAGGCTCGAAGGCCCGGTAAACGTTGCGACCCTGGAGAGCCTCAACGCCCTCATCATTCGGGCCCAGCTTCAAGACAGCCTGAACTTGAGCGTGGCTGATTGCACGCTCGTAGCGCCCAAACTCTTGGACGTAGGACGGCTCAGTGGGCGAGCATAGTTGGACGCGACCCTCTGCATGTTTCTCGTTGATATTTACCACGCTGTGAATGGTGAAATACCACTCTGTCTCGTCATTGTTGAGTTGCTTCAGGTCAACATAGCGGGTGCGCGTTGAGTCGGCGCATACGGGTGAATGGCTGATAATGTCGCGTACCACCGCTGAGTACCCGCTCGATCTGAAGTCCGGTTTCAGGCTGAAAGCGGTTTCAATGGCCATGTCGATCTCAAGCGTGGCTGGGCACATAGGCGCCGTCTGAGCAATGACGTGGGTTGAGAATAGACGCTGGTACTTGTCTGATGTGGTATTGATACGGAAACGCGCCAGCTTTGCCTGCTTCTTGCCTTTGTTGGCGTGGTCGTCCTGGAAGCCAACGAAAGTCCACATAGGTAAAGTTCTGGGGTCCTCGTGGTCTTGCTCTCCCGTTCGCGATAGTCCTCCCGCTGGTTGCAACTCAATGTTACCGTCGGCGATCATCTTTTGGGCAGCCTTCATGACAATCTCCTTGGGCGACCTGAGTTCGAGCCAATGGCGGTTCTTCTCGAACTGGTACGGCGGTAGGAGGAGTTGTGCATAATCGTTTGTCTGAAGTCGGTGATGCGCCCAGAAAGATACGCGCAGTCCCTGCTTCCAGAGAGACACAGTTGCATCCGTGAGGCCGTCAAAACTCTTCTTGGTATTTGTAATGGATACAGACTGGAAATGGATCTCGTCGGAGGTCTTGGGAGCTGCTTGGGCGTGGGCACGGGCTGCCATCACGGTGATGGTCGAGTTGGAGCCCGCCTCGAGGAAGATGGCTTGTGGGTGCTTGTGAGTGAGCCGCTGTACGGCATGATCGAAGAAGACTGGTTGGCGCATATGAGAGGGGACAAAAGTCCAGTCCAGTTCGGCTGACGAATTGCCATCTTTGGTGGCACGTTCTACCGGAATGGTGGCGTTGTTAAAGGTCAATCCCTTACCGAGCTCCCCTAGGCGGCCGACTAGGCCCTCTACCAACACGGAGTGGAAGGCGTTGGTGACATTCAGACGCTTACTCTTGATTCCCTCCACAGTCTTGCTCTTCTCAGCTAGTGTTTTGGCAAAAGCGTCGATGGCTTTTGTCGATCCGGCGACAGTGAAACTGCGGCGGCCATTGTAGCAGGCAATGCCAGCCGATCCATCCGATTCGAGGTTTGACTCCTTCAGAACATCATGCACAAACGCCTCATCAGCCTCGACAGCCATCATGGCGCCCGAATCAGACCCCCAGGCGTCTCGTACAAGCTTGGCCCGGCCTGCGACTAGTTTAACTGTGTCTTTCAGGCTCAGCACGCCTGCAACGCAGAGTGCCGTTATCTCACCAAAGCTGTGGCCCACAACAGACACTATCTTGTCCGCA